TATTACATATATATTACATATATACCAGTAGTACCGCACAAGGCGGTGGCGGAAGTTTCAAAGATAGGAAACCTATAAGAGAAGCTGGTTGTTGTGAATCACGGATGGCAGAGCGAAGCCACTGATGGATCGAAAGGTGGTTGAGGTCTCCTCTCTTTCTCTCTCTTTCTCTCTCTTTCTCTCTCTTTCTCTCTCTTTCTCTCTCTTTCTCTCTCTTTCTCTCTCTTTCTCTCTCTTTCTCTGATTATCTATCTATCTATCTATCTAGCTGGCTGGCTAGCTATCTATCTATCTATCTATCTGTCTATCTATCTAGCTATCTCTCTATCGATCGATCGATCTATCTATCTATCTATCCATCTATCTATCTAGCTATCTATCAATCTCATCGTCTATCTAACTGTTTATCTAGGTATCTACCTATCTACCTGTCTACCGATCTATCTATTCTATCGATCTATCGATCTATCGATCTATCTATCTCTCTATCTGTCTATCTACCTATCTATCTATCTATCTATCTGTCTATCTATCTATCTATCTAATCTAATCTACATAATCTAATCTAATCTAATCTAATCTAATCTATCTATCCATCTATCTGTCTATCTATCTATCTATCTATCTCTCGGTCTGTCTGTCTGTCTATCTATCTGCCTGTCTATCTGCACGCTTGAAAACCTTGCTATTCTACGAAACTTCTTCATTTTCCAAGTTGACAACATCAAAAATGCAGCTTCCTCATTTTTTGAAGTTGATTACATCAAACAGAAAACACTTCTGCGAGACCTGAGACCTCCTCCTTTTTTTAAGTTGACCACATCAAAAACGAAGCAATTCTGCGAGACTACCTTCATTTTTGAACTTAACAACGTCAAAAACGAAGCAATTCTGCGAGACTTCTTCATTTTTCACACTTGACAACATCAAAAACGAAAGAATTCTGCGAGACTTCCTTCAAAAATAGAAAGTTGACTGCAGCGCTGATGGCCTCGTGCCAATACGTTCTGCGATTTTTTCCATTCCATGTGTCTAAAGTACTGCGCCTGCCACGAAAAAGTGATGCCAGGTCATACGAAGTGCTGCACCTGTCACGCAAAATCATCTCAGCAAACCTGAAGATCTGATGCTCCAAAATGCAACCTTTCTCAGGAAATCAGCACCCTGACCTCCTAACATCTCTGATGAAAATGTCTTATGTACTGCACCTGCCACGGAAAATGCATCTTTGCGCATCCTCTTCAAATGCCCCATGCCTGCCATTTGGAGGTGCTTCAAAACCCTCACGTTTTGCTCACTTTTGACAAGGTGCGCAATCCCTTGCGACTACCACGCGAAACGAGATCTGAATGTCCAAAAGTGGTCCGAACGTGGTGTGTTTTGTACATGTTGACTTTGAAACGTGCTTCGCGCCACAACGGCGTGCACTTTTTCGACATCGCAACTTCCAGAAGTGGTCTGAGAATGGTGTGCTTTGTACATTTTGACTTCGAAATGTGCTTCGCGCCACAACGGCGTGCACTTTTTCGACATCTCAACTTCCAAAAGTGGTCCGAGAACGGTGTCCTTTGCACATTTTGACTTCGAAGTGTGCTTCGCGCCACAACGACGCGCACTTTTTTATCGCTCATCTGGCCAGATGGCTCCGCACCCGCCGCTTTAGCGAGCCTACTTTTCGACCCTCCGGAGACACAAATCATTGGAAAAACACAGTGTCCCGCGACTTTTCACCTTTTCGCGCATCTGCATCTTCTTTCTTCTGACTCTTTCTCTTCTCTGACCTGCTCTCTTCTACTCTTCTCTTCTCTCTGCCTCTGCCCAGCTCTGCTTTTCATCTGTCCATATTGTCGGAAGTTTGACTTCTAAACTTCCTTCGATTTCATATATATATATATATTTACAGAATATATATATATATATTACATATATACATACCCTCAACTACATAAGGTCTGAAATCGGCATGCCTTGAGGATTCCTCAGCCCAGGGTCTGAGATGCTACATGATACATTGTAGACCTTGGACCAGCTAGCATTGTAGACCCCTGCAAGTGTAGTTTAATTAGAATAGCCAAGAACATCAGAAAATGTTATATATATATATAAACCAATCATATTCTTGGATGGCAAAAAGTATATATATATCAGATGATTGCATGATTACTGAACCCTTCCAGAACCCCGATTGCATGATTTTATTCCGTTTCGGTTTGGATCCTGCATGTCCGCAGCATGCCCTCTTACAAAAAAAGTCTCACAATAAGTGACCCAACATTTCACAGATGCGGATGGGGCATGATGATGAGTTGTCAAGGTTCTTGATTCTGTTGGCATTCTAGCAAGTACACCGGGGACAGGGCAGGCGCAGCCAAGTTTCAGGAAACGAGCCAAAACTAGCAAATCCACCTACTCAACATCAATCAACCACAAACCTATCCACCCCCTCACTCCTAACCCAATAAAATCTTGTAGTAGCTTTGAAATTTCCACCACATTGCTCCGATACCATCCAAAACCGCATTGGTCGCAAGAGAAAGCAAACCATGCAGCACCGGAATAAAGGAAAAATAACTAATAGCCACAGACCAAGTTTCAGACATGTTTCGGTGCGACCAAGCCATAAGAAATGAAGTCAACCAACCAACCAGCATGAACTGACTTGGTGATCAATGGGCAGGGGGTCTAAGGTGATTTCCCCTATACAGAGCCGTGATAAACCTCAATGGAACCAGGGGCAAATCATTCCAGACCCCCCCCCTAAAGCACAATACCAGGCTGATACCCATCCACGAATACATTATATATATATATATGCACACATGCACATGTTGCTTCACAGGAACTCCATCTTAGACCTTGAGCTTCAGCATAGCTCCCCTGGTCTAAAGTGCCTCTGAGAATCTCAGATTTAGCAATGGTAGTTCATTTTAGACCAGCGTTTTAGGGTCTACAATGTAACCAACAAGGCCCCTCCCAAGTAGCTGAGGGTGTATATATATACATATATACACATGAACCTGACTCAAAGGAACAAATGACTAAAAGTGCTCCAAAACTATGGATGGTGGGCGAAAACTGCGGCCTCCGCTTGAGGAGCTTTGGGATTGATCGATCACGGCGAATTCCGCATGATGATCATCATGTGGACCTGTCTCCAAACGCAACTTGCTAAGCAGTTTTTTGTCAGGGGCAGAAAATCAACGAACTGCGGCGTTTGGGTTGAAATCATCAGTTCCATCGGTGAAGAGCTAGAAGTTTTTGGTGACACGGCAGCCGCTGGCTGCTGTCAGGTTATCTCTTGGAGATGTGAATTGTCAGGTTCGACCACCAAAATCTTGAAAACAAATAAGCAAACTACAAAAGATTGTGGCAAAGAAACCTGCATCTCTCTGTAGTACCTGATTGAAATTGAGTCTTTTGTGTACCAGAAGCTCAGCGCAAAGTGCTACCGCAAATGCTTCAGTTGTTTTCAAATAAATTCACGTGGCTATGCCTATGTAGCCGCCTGAGCTACATGGGCTTGTTTGTAAGAGGAAAGTGTAGAGGCCAGCCTTTTCTTTCGCACCATTCAAAGAAAATCACACTCTGCCATAATGGCAACTTTCAGTGTCTTCTTTCAGAGAAATCACATACGCTGCACTCAGCTGGAATCCATATTGTCAACCTGAGCGGAATGTGATGGAATGTGATTGTTGAACTATGTACAAGCCATCTAAAAGTACATACAAGTACATCGTTTTTTGATCTCATACAGTGACAGGTTTGTTTGAAAATAAGATATCACCCAAAATCAGTGGTGTATCTCGGTGTATCATACTTTCCTCGATACCCATCAATTATGTCTAGGCACCAAATTCACACCTGGTTTTTTAGTAGTTGCTAAGACTAAAAACATTTTGGTTTTGATACCCATAAGATAGATCTAGCAAACAACCCCCGACGTTTTTTGCTGTGAAACTTTCCACACATATCAAACACATTGTCAATGGTGGTTTTCTATACCCAGACTTCACGCGTCATGCCTGTTGACCTGGCAATAAATTGGATCAAATTGGATGTTGTTCTACAAAATTCCTTTTTAACTGGCCTGACATGGTGGTTCTCTACCATGTGGTAACCCCTTTTTTTCCCCCAATCAGAAATGCCAATTTCACCAGAAATAACCGTGCTGTTGTCACCCCCAAATTGGGTTTCCACACTCCACGTTTCCCTCCCAAATGGGTGGCAAAGGATCTGGATTTGTTCCTTGATGCCATTGAGCTTCACCAGTTCCTGGGCATCCCGGTTCACGAGTTGCATATTGTAATTTATATAACCATATATATATTATGCCATATATATATACTATATAAGAATATATGACCATTATGACCATATATATACAAATATATATATATATGTGTATACATCTATTTATATACTTAATATATACTATTAATATATATATAATGTGGGGCTCCAATGTCACTGGTATAAGTTGGTTTGTAATCCCATCTATTTGTTTGCTATTATTCCTGCCATCCTAGTTAAGCAAGTTATGTCCACTAACTTAAATATCCAGGGGCCCCACAAATTGTAGGTGCAGTATAGATGCGTTGGACACCCATTGTCGGTGGCCCCCACGGGCCTGAGACTTCATGTGGACCCAGAAAGGTCTGACCGACCAAGAAATGGAAAGGGACCCAGGGTCTGAAAATCGAAGAATGAACCGTTGAAAATGGGGGTTTCCATGGGTTTCCTCATGGATTCCCAAGTCCCTAAGTCCTAGTCATGATGCTCCAAGGAGTACCCCCCGAGCCGAGGCTTTGCCCGAGAATGGCTGTGGTTTTTAGGCAGGGGACGGAGCTGCAAATTTCAAGATGGGTGGGTGCCACAAAAGTCATCACAAATCATCAAACATTGAGGAAAACCTATGGAAAAAAGCCAAACATCATCAAAAATCATCAAAAATCCATGAGGGGAATAGTGAACCCCCCTTGTGCAGGGCCCACAAGCCAGGCATGTTTGTGTTCGACCTCTCTATTTTCCGCCCCCAATGCGCTTTGGAGTTCTTCGGCTGCAGATGGGTGTGGCGCCGGCTTTCTACCGCCTTTTGTGAGACGGTGACACTGTCCGGAACACGTTTACAAATCAGGTGAAAAAGCTTCATCTATAATCCATAGGTTTATGATGTTCATGAACCTTCCCACGTTCACTCCATTCAGTGATCTTTGGGTCCATTGGTTTTTGCAAAAAATTAGAGGCTTTGGAGGCCGCCGAGAGGGTCCCAAGACGCAGCCCGGAAGGTTTCCCTACTTCTGGAAGTGGCTATTCCACTGGGCGCTGTTCTTCGTGATGATTGTGCCCCACTGGGGGATCTTTGGGGCGGCCATGGGACCAGTTTCCAAAGAAGTCACAACAGATGAAGTGAAAGGAATCTGGAATTTCAGGGCTATTGCTCTAAAGGTTACGCTAGAAATATCAAGGAGTTCATTGAAAGCTGTGGTCAATCAAACACTGCGCAGACTCAGCTCCTACCTTTTCTGCCTGTGCCTTTTTTGCCGATCCCGTGCCCACAACACTAAATACACTCTAAGACTCTTTAAGAATCTACAACAAGTTTCAGAGTAATGTTCCACCTCCCAGAAGTCTGTTTTTTTTGTTTTTATCATGTTTGATCATAGTGTCCATGTTTTTTTCGCATTGCCGGTTGAAACAACGGTATTCCTGGCTTTTGCTAGTGATTCCTGTATTCTACGATTGCCCATAAAGGATGGTAAACATTCACGATTCCCATCAAACTTTGCAATGTGTTGACCCGTCTGCCCATCCCCAATGTTTTTTCATGTTTTTTTCCTATTCCAATAATTTCCAATCTATTCCATAGATTGTGCCAGTTTATTTCCTTGTATGTCACTGTCACTAACGCATCCAATTCTTTTCTCCTGATTCATTCCCCCGTGGCTCTGACGTTTCATCCTTGGCGCCGAGCTTGCTAGGTGCTTCTCTTGGTCATCATGCTGGCCATTGGCCGCAACCATAAGAACCTCGAAGTTAAATCTCGTCATGGTGCTTCGAAGGCTTTGCCAGAGATAGGATCAGATCTGGCCATATCCCCCTGGGGAATTCATGGAATGGGGGACTTTCCCATGATTTTTTTCGCCAGATTTGATGCCAGGAACCCAATATTTGCCAAAAAATGCCGCATTTGCCACATCCCATCCCACACCTCCCAGGAATGCACAGCACGACTGGAAATATATCAGCAAGAAGCAAGCCTTGTTGTCGATGTTCTCAGCCTCTCTGTTGCCTCTTGACCCGCCAAGGGCGTTGGATTCCCGGGTATGCCGTGGACTTTTTAAGCGTGGATATTTGCTTGAAGCAGTATTCCGTTCAGTGGTGGCTACTCATCTTTTGAGCATGGCTAAAAATGATTCCTTCCTAGATCAGATTACTGTATATATGAATATATATGATATAATCGAGTACAGGTACTGTTTAGATCTGTTTAGATTTGTTTAGATCTGTTTATATAGATCTGTTTAGATCTGTTTAGATCTGTTTAGATCTGTTTAGATCTGTTTAGCATTGCTAGTTTAGTAGAGTCTATATACTTGTGCTAGAAACATGACCAACTTTGGGCCTTCGACTTGTCCTGGTGACTGGCAGCGAGGCTCTTTACCCTGGTCCACCTACGAGACGACCTCATCTTTGCTCAGTGCATCGCCTGTGAAGATGACAAGTTCTGTATCTTGGTAAGCCAATCGTAGATCAATGGAGGTGCTTATATAGTACACATAAATGGATGATATAGATTGATATAGACTATAGATGATATTTATATATATACTCCAATCATAAGCCAAGTGGTGGGAATTGCTGAAAAAGAAGTTCTTCAAAAGCTATAGCAGCTATAGCAGCGATTTGTTCAGAGCTAGTCAAAAAAACAATACTGCCATTCTTACTAGAAGGAGATTCGCAAAACTGATCAATTCTTGGGCTGCTTAAAACACTATGCAACCAGATAGAATGTAGTTTGTTTCTTTCCGAATCATCATGTCATGGTAATTGAAATGGACTGCGCATCCCACTGCATCCCCCAAAAGCTTCTTCGTCACAGTCCAAATAACCACAGTAGACCTATTCCCTGGTGATCTTGTTAGACTTGCTACTTGGGTGGTGGGAATCGATTATGACATCTTCCATGATTTTGGGGTGTTTTTTTGTATGCCAAAATAAAACACTAAACCTCAATATTTTGGGGGAATTTCTCAATGGCCATTTCAATGAACCTAGATTGGAGGTACCTACCATACAAAAGGCAATGTAAGGGCTATTTCAGGGAATATCCACCAAATTTGGGTTTATATGGTACAGTATCTCCATTTTAGCGTCCTGAAATTTCCATATAATTATTTAATATTTTATACATTATATATGTATATATACATATCTATATACACCAGGCATATAAACCTCATCATTCTCTGGGTTGCCGGGTTCGCCGCTTTGTCCCATCCCATGTCGCGCTGAGGTCTGGCCGAGCAGCCAGTGATCTATTGCGACATGGCCGACTCCGTCCTTTGGTCGCAGCGGGCAGGGAGTTGGAATTGATGGATGACTTAGAACTGCACCAGTTGATGGTTTACCCTCTGGTAAACATACAAAAAACTATGGAAAATCACCATTTTTAACGGGAAAAACCACTATTTCTATGGCCATTTTCAATAGCTATGTTAAATTACCAGAGGGTATCCCATCATCCCATGAAGTTTTCAGTGTTGAATTTTGTTACCAATATTTATCAACTGCAGTTCATTTTGGGACCCGCAGTATCATGGTAATGACAATAGCTTCTGTCCGAAAATATTAGTTCAATGGGAGGTATATTCCTCGCTGTAGATCATTTATTTTCGGCTTTTTGGAGGCCAGTTGCCCCGATCAATGGGTGAATTACTGGGGATAATATGAAAACAATGGGTTAATATGTATGTTTTTAATATGTTTAAATGGTCTTTAGTTGATAAAAGATAAGAAAAAACATCTCATCTCTTCCAACAATTTCCAACAGCTGGGATCGATATTCTTTGATTAACAGCCACATCTAAAAAGACCATTGGTTGATATTCCAAAGACATGGGCTATTGGGCTGTTCATCGAATGGCCAACAGCTGGCCGTTTTTGGAAACCCAATGAGACCCAGCCTTAGCGAGACTGGCATGGTCAAGTTGTATGGCCTTGCGATGGGGGATGGTCATCCCCAATATCCCCAAGACCCTTTGGTAAACTCACAGTTTGCTATACTGTAGGTAAAATCAACTATTTCAATGGTCCATGGCTTCAATAGCTATGTGAAAGTACCAGAGGGTAGGGCTGATTTTGGGGGATATACCCTCTGGTAAACTAACATAGCTATTGAAAATGGCCATAGAAATAGTGAGTTTTCCCATGAAAAATGGGTGGATTTTCCATAGTTTTTTGTATGTTTACCAGAGGGTACCCGAGTCCCATAGCAATTTGAGAATCCCATGGTGGGATCATCGTCCGTGTTTTGACCGCCTCTATGTTTGGCGTGTTTCTACCGCCGGTTGAACCCAGACCACACGTTTTGTAGAAAAACATGTGCGGATGTTTTTTTCATCACACAATATCAGATTAGATTTGATTAGATGATATTAGAATATCATTAGATGATATTAGATGATATTTTTTACTTGATATTAGATGTGCTGTCTTCGAGGTTTCAAGTAGAATGAACACGCGTGTGTTTCCTTCGCAACGGGCTACTCTAGTTTGTTTTTAGCAATGGGGACACTTGGATGGTGACTCACATTATGTAGGCACATTACTTGCTTGCACTTTGTGTAATCTTTCCAGTTTGGCTGAACTGCTGGCATGCAATTGTATAATTTTACATGTATATACATAATCATATGGATATGTATACATATATAGGTATGCATAGAATGCATAGACATGCAGATACATACATATACATATACATAATTTATATAACTATATGTATTCTATAGAACATTAAATACAATTGTTTTACATACTATAACCATACTATATGCATTTACATAGCATGACCAATTTGTATCTCCTGTGCAATGACCCACTTGCCGCCAGGAATGGGCCGTGACTTGATGAAAATAATGGCCGTGTCGCCGCTACCCCGGGGAAGCCTCGTGAAAGCTGGACAGATAAACCATGATAAACCTGGGTCAGCCTTGGATGAGTACTTTAGAACTTGATTCCTTCGCTGGATATGGATATATGATACTGTATATATGGTATAATATACATATATATATATATATGTATAATATAATATATATATTATAGTATATACAAGATAATATATATAATATAATATGATAAAATATAATATAATATTATATAATATGATATAATATGATATGATATAATATAACATAATATAATATACTATAATAAAGTATATACTATATAATATAATATTTGTTATGTGATATATATAATATATAATATATAATATATAATATATAATATATAATATAATATAATATATAATATATAATATATAATATATACAATATATAATATACTATGTATATATATATATATGATATAATATATATGAGATTATATGTATATATATATATAAATTATACATTAAGCAACTGAAAAAGGTGCTGCGTACTTCAGATTGGCCATAAACGAGCCGTTTTTTCACGGGCCAAACGTTTAGAGGTCTGTGAATTCTCACCATGTTGATCATCCTGTGGCGTTTCGGTCAGCTGACTGAGCTATAGGGCTGAGAAAAAGCTAGCTGGTTCAATGTCCGGTTTAATACGGATATACATATACATATAATATATATATAATATAATATATATATAATATAATATCATATGATATATATATATAGGGATTATGAACTGTCCCCATACTACGCATATTTTCTAGCCAACCAGCACAATGAGGTGGGATATGGTTATTTTTCACAGCTCAACTAGCTTTGTTCAACCTGGAACTATACGCATCGTATTGCATGTTCACGTAGGATTGATTGATCGGCAGTTTTGGGGATGTAGACGGGCTAGGCACTGGGATTTTCATTGATCCAACGGCACAAATGCTGGGGACATACTAGAACAACATATCAAAGTCTAGTTGCAACCAGCCACAAACTATTGGGTTTCTCAATGGATTATCCAGTTGCTTACAGGTTCAGATCGATTTTGCTGGAACGGGTCGCTTCACATTGATTCACTTCAGTTCTCTTTGTACAAAAATGGTGCACCCCCTTCAATTTCATAGTTTGCGATAATACTCGCCGGTAAAATATTGTCATTTTGGTGGAGATACCAATGTACCCCAAGCAAATCCCTCATCAATATCCCTTTGTTTGCTGGTTGAGCCTGACAAATTATTGGTGGGTGAAGTCCCATGGAAATCGCATATGGGATACAGTTGGTTGTATATGTCCCACTAAATCCCCATTAAATCCACATAAAAACCCTCCAAATTCATAGAAATTCCCATTCAATCCACATGAAATCGCCAAAAACTCCACAAAATCCCACCAATGCCCCCACAATCGCCCCCCCCCCATCCCATCAATTGACCCAGCCCAGGCGATGGCAGTGCTGTCCGTCATGGATCTCTTCCTGGTGATCGGGTCCACAGTGCCGATTTTGGCCATCACCATCTACAAGAGCTGGAAATGGCAGCATGGGCACCTTGGTTTTTGGATGTTTTTTGGGTCCCTGGCAGCCCTGGTCCTTTGGGATTTTCGGCGAAAATCCACCGGGGATGATGATAAAAGCATGAAAAAATCGTATTTGACCATGGGGATTCAACGAACATAGAGGGGCATAGCTGGGAAGTTGAGCCATTTTGGCACCATGGATGTAGCAGTTAGCACTGATCAATGATGCCCTCCATTTAGATTCCCCAGGGGACCACCTTGAAAGTGGAGAAAATGTCCCAGTAATATATGGTTCATTGCTGGATCAACCAACTGGACGGCGACTTTAACCACGGATTTTTAAGCGTCAAACCATTGGGATTCAACGTCAAAACTGGAAATTCATCAGACTTTCTGGGGTTAAATGATCACATCGGATGGCTACTGCAGGTACAACTTTTTTTGTATTGCCAATTTGATGCTGATATAACTGATATAAACATATATAAACCAACTTAAATGCTGAAGACTTCCACAGTGTCTCAAAGATTTGCCGGGACGGCCCCCTCCTTCATCAGCAACTCCAAGATGAACCGTGGGCATTTCAGCACAAAACCAGCTTTGGATGGTTGATTACAGGATTCTCCGCATTATATCAATTACATACCGGATACATAAAGCATCATAAAACAATGATGATGGTAGACATTAGTAGATTATATATGATTATATCAGTTTTACATACCTCATTATATAATATATTACTGTAATATACTGTAATATTTATGATGATATTTTGTAATTACCAATATTTCAGAAGTAGACTAGTAGGTTAATTAAAACAATTACCAGAGTGCCGAGGTTGGCCATGAGGTTCAAGAAATGGAAGGAAATGGATGGAAATACGAAATACATGGAAATGGATGGAATGGATGGAAGTAGATAGAAATGGATAGAAATCGACTGAACTGGATGGAATTGGATGGAATGGACGGAATGGATGTAAATGGATGTAAATGGATGTAAATGGATGTAAATGGGACTTGGCAGTCAAAACTAAAGCTTGACAGCAAAAGCCTCAAGTAGTGGGGACTCATTTATTGGATCCCCAATAATGAAACATCACGTGAAACATTCCTAATTATGGACCTTCCGCCATTTATTTGGGAGCTGTGAAGTTTAGCATCTCATCAAGGTAGGCCCAGTCTGGACCTCGGAGGATGGTTTGAATGGGATACCGACAAGTTATAGCTAAAGGATGCTAAAGCTGTGAATCTTACAGGAATAGACTGATGACTGGGATATGACTGGGATATAACCAACACTTCTGAGTAGGTGTGTCTGAAAATATCACAAGACTCACCCATTTCTGTCTGATGATCCCGTGGATTTTCCAGGGACGAGATCGCCTTGTCCTCGGACTTCTTGGCCCCATGGTACGTCTACATTTCAGCGCCTCGGCCAAGGGAAGTATCAAAACTCCCCATTGAAACAAGACTGTTGTTTTCTGTTCATTTTAGATGCTGAATCTGCGATTTTACCCGCCATCTTTTGACCGTGAAAGCGTCATATAGTTTCCGCAGTCAAATAGCAGGTCACCCAAAAAAACCCTCTGGTAAACTAAGCTGGCTATGGAAACCATGGCCCATTTATGGTTGATTACCTATCAAAATGGTGACTTACATTTATTTACCATAGCTATGTTGGTTTACCAGAGGGTCTTTGTGTGCTGCTCAGTTCCATCTTAGTTCCCACAGCTCTTGACTCCTCTATCCACAGGAGATGCTTGTGGAGCGACACATTGGATATATCAAGGAAGTTCGAGAGGCGAGACCTTGCCGAGCTTGCTGGGATGCTGGTTACTATGGGTAAACGTTTACCCTCTGCTAAACGTTTACATACCGTTGGAAAATCACCATTTGAATAGGCAAATCCACCATAAATGGGCCATTGTCCATAGCAAACTGTGAGTTTACCAGAGGGTATCTCCAAATGACCCTATCCAGAAAAGATGGACACATAAAGGAAGAAGTCGTGATCAGTTGAAGTGTTTCGTCATCAGGGCGTAACAAGGTAAAATGTTCAAGCAATTTTGAAGGTGATGTTTACAAAAACTATCAAAAACTCTTAGTCATAGTATGTCACAGTAATAGTTGGTCGGTAAACAAGTGTATAAACGCGGGTTCCTAGTGTAGACGGTCCTTCATGCCACTGACGCTATTGGGTTGTCTCAAAATCATCCTTTTTCCCATCAAAGTTGCAGTATATTGAGGGCCGGGCCCAATTTTGAGACAAAGCGTCACATATCCATCATATCCCGATCATCTAACCTCATCATCTAACCTCATTTGTTCCATTGTGTTCCCATATATTCCATATACACTCCATCGTCTCTACAATCTCCATGATTTCCCCGGGATAAGCAGCTGTGGAAGGCGGTCCCAGAATTTGAGCAAGCCTACAAGGATTTGCATACGGATGGCATGCGTCAGGACGGGGAGGGATGGCTTGGAGGTAGCTTGCACTGGTTAAAAGCTAGTGTTTAAGCTCCTGAAAAGTATAGAACATGGAAAGCCCCGAAAAATGGGTTTCGGGGGGTTCTATGTTAACCAGATTGTAACAAGCTTGTTTAGACCCGTTGTTTTGTTGAAGCCAAACTTCCATGGCTTTCTATCTTGGTTGGCCTTTAGATTCTTAGATATACATATGGATTTATTGAGTGACTCCAAAATACACGAAATTGGCTCCGGATTTTGGCCGGTGTGCATTTGAAAGCAATAAGTGACTATAAATTTGTCTTGGAAAATTGGTCTGACATTGAAGGCTTTTGGTTGCCATGGTATTTGGCATGATAAATTCAGATGCATGCAAATGAGTGCACATTGTAGTATGTCAATGCTGAATAATCTTGTGGCATCGTATGGCCAATATGTGTGATTTAGATCTCATTGATATGCAATTTTTTTCAGATTACCACATAGCCATAGAGTTCCATTTGGTATCAATGTGGGATCCCAAGGATAAACCATCCTGGCAACCAACCGGGTAGCCTCCTAGGAGGTGTGGAGCAAGGCCATTGATATCATCTTGGCCCACGAAGCGGAAAAGGTACCTGGGTAGCAAATCTTGACAGATATAGGACTTGAGTGGATTTACCCTCTGGTTATGTCAAAATAGCTATGGAAAATCCACCCATTTTTCATGGGAAAATCCACTATTTAGCTATGGTCATTTATTCAATAGCTATGTCACAAATTACCAGAGGGTAAGCAAGGAATTTAGGGGATTCATGGAAGTTGTATGGTGAGTAATGATCAGAACTTCAGTGACCCTCTGGTTTAATGGAGGTATTACCAGCAAAAAAATGTGATAAATGGAGGATTGGCTTGATTTCGTGATAATCTAACATAGCTATAGAAAACTGCTTCTTTGTTCACCTCCGAAACATGGTGTTCTTTTTCCATGCTTATGTTTGAGTACCGGAGGGTACTGACCCCTTAAGAATACATTCCCCCCGAGATCACACCATCCCCCAATTTTGGAACCCCAAAATGAATAGATCGAATGCAAGCAGGGTGCTGTTTGGGAGGTTCCTTCATATTTCGAAGAATTTTCTAAGAATCAATATGAATTCATGTTGATAAATATGAATTAATATGCATTCATATGGATGTTTATTGGATGAATCATATTCAATCTCATGCACCATGGCATGAACATCTTATGACCCAAATCTTGGCATGGCTATGCTGTCCGAGCGGTTCGGTGGAGCGATGGTCTTGGAGGTTTCCATAGTCACAGGGGATCCCCAATAGCTGGATGGTTTATAATGGAAACGCCTATAAAAATGGATGGGTTGGAGCTACTGCCATTTTAGGACACCTTCATTCATGTACTGACTCGTGACTCGTGAATGAACATGATGAATGAAGAGAGGGGTTGGTCTAGGTGAGCCTTAAATCCATTGGTTCATGATTTCCCCCATAAAGATGTTTTTTTAGGTTGTACTCTAAGTACTATCTTATTTTGAGGTAAACCCATGCGGTATCACCAGCAAACCTGTTGACTTGGGCCAACGGGTCAACGGAAGGGAACTGATGCACCCAACACATTGGTCATTCTTGTTATAATATCACATAATATAATGTAATATGATATAATATAGTATAGTATCATAGTATATAATATTAGATAATATATAGCATATATATATACACACACTGTGTATACATACTTGGGGGGTTCATCCCACGAAGTAAGTAGGTTAGTTCACCCCAGTGAAATCAATGGATGGGTCGCTCCCCAGGCCGAAGTGTTCCTGCGGCGGATGATTCGACATTTGCCCCTTGGACATGACCATGACGGAAGCCTTTTTGTTGAATAGGCTGGCATAACCAACCAGTAAATCATGGTAAGTCGCCATGACGGAAAGTTGAACAAACCGTGGCACAAGAAACAGGTTCATGATCGGTTTACTCTCGGTTTGTTTTAAATGCTGTACTCATATTTATCTCATGTATTCTCATGTTCTCTCTGTTTATGGAAGGTATTTCACCGCCGCTTCTGAAACTGGCTCCAGTTTTTCTTCACAGAGGCCCCAGTGTAAAAACAGCGTCCAACTCAAGAGTCAGGTCATGTTGAGGCGCTTGAGATCAGAGTCTGAAAATAGGCTGCCCCCAAAGTTTGGTACTCATTTTCAGGCCATTTTGAGATTTTCAGGTCCTGAATCAGGTCTCCATTTTCGCACAGACTCCAATTTCCATCAGTGCGTGATTTTCTTTTATAAATGGGTGAAATCCCAATGTTGCTTGAAATGCCCCAGTTCCAACAATTGGTTGGTGAAATCCTCCAAATTTCAAGCGAGGTACAACCACAACCCTCGATTCAATGTCATCGACGAGGATTCAGGTGGGCACTGGATACGACAGCCGTCACTTTCCAAAAAGATGTCCATAGCTATGGGTCAAAATATCCCATATGCATATATAGATATGAGTTCAAAAATGGGGTGGTTGAATCCTATAATGATCAACTTGTTCAATTTCGACCCACATCCAGTTATGTTGGTCGATACCCTGGCTTTCATGGAGGCTCACACACATGTCATTTGATAAATTGGAGAACAGAACCTCAATTGCTTAAGGTCTATCAAAAGAAACTAATCTCATCCCCCCAATACTGAACACCCCCATTGTATGGTCCCAAATGTGTGATTCCATCCCCTACTACAAAATCCATTATTTCTGGGGTGTGTTTAAGATTAGAATGGGGGAAGGGATTTATTGGCAAGATTCATTTACAAAACAAACTGATTATTAATGCATATGATTAAGACCAAATATGCGGTTTATCAAATGAATATGGCGTCAATAGGTCTATTGTTGGTTTATTAATTTATATACTGTACAATATTATTATTGGATGATAATGATATTTGTTATCGTATATGTCCATCATAAACTCCAATATTTATGATGGATTTTTTTTTAAAAAAAAAGTAGGTACTGTACTACTATGTTAGGAAGTTTTTCACTCCAATACTGGAGTTGGCAATAATTAGTCCATCATAAACTCCATGCGGAGGTTTCCAAAAAATGCCGTAACCCCCAAGTCATTAGACCATGACTTAGTATTAAGACCTACGGTGACTTGGGGATCCCCCATAACTTAAGAAACCCCCATATGGGTGAGTCTGAAAATAGGACAGCCCCAAAATCCAATAGTTTATCATCATGTTCCCTACTAATAGCATGTTGGAGGTATTTCATAATCCCATTTTCAAACACAGCCACATCCCATTCTATCCCCATGTTGGTTAAATCCCTGTGAAATTGATGGTTAAACCACCCCACTCATTGTTTATGGATTGTATTAAAACTAGACTAAGAACTATGATCTCTGGTCCCCCAAGTCCAAAAAATATGTTGATCCATAACCATATACCCTCTGGTAAACTAACATGGTTATTGAAAATGGCCATTTATAGTGAGTTTTCCCATTAAAAATTGTGATGTTCCATAGTTATGTTAGTTTACCAGAGGGTAAAGTCCATTTCAAGTCCCCATCTTTCTTAGTTCTAAATCGTCATAACTCATTAATGGTTAAACCACCCATAAATCATAATAAATCCATATTATTTCGATGATACTGTGGATGGTTGCGAAATCCTGCACCACCATATTATTCTTGGATGATAATGATGATTATTCATGTGTCCATCATAAACTCCAATGTTTATGATGGAATTTATTTGGATGGATGAAACCCTATGAATAATGGGGATAAAGCACCTATGAATGGCCATTTCAGGATGCTAAAATGGAGGTACCTACCATATGTGAGGCCTATTTTTTTAGGGCTATGTAAGGGAATATACACCCAAAATATGGCCTTATATGGTACTATATAACGTACCTCCATTTTAGGATCCTGGAATTCATGAAGTCCATGGCCCAGGTCCAACCTTCGCCTTGATCCGCGCCATTTTGAGGCTGCGATAGACCTGACCGGGGACAACTGTATGGTATCTGCATGTATCTGCCATCTTTAAAAATGGAAAGATAAGGGTTATAGAATATATATATATACTGCCATCAACTATAGATTATAATCAATCAACTATAGATTATAATCAGTCAACTATAGGTTATCAATCAACTATAGATTATAATCCGTCAACTATAGATTTTAATCAATCAACTATAGATTACAATCAATCAACTCTAACTATGGATTATAAACAATCAACTACAGATTATACTATAATCAACTATATATAGTTATAATCCATCAACCATAGATTATAATCAATCAACTACTGTATATAGATTACAATCAATCAACTATATATTATAATCAATCAACTATACTCAATCATTTTTTTGATTATGATCAATCACCTATAGGTAATAATCAAACATTTATAGATTATAATCAATTCTTTATAGATTATAATTCAATCAACTATGGATTATACTGTGATCATCAACCATATGATCAACCATAGTTATAATCTATCAACTATAGATTACAATCAATCAACTAAAGATTATAATCAACCAACTATAGGCTATAATCAATCAACTATAGATTATAATCAGTCAACTATAGATTATAATCAATCAACTATAGATTATAGTCAATCAACTATAGAGTATAATCAATCAAATATAAGATATAACCAATCAACTATAGGCTACAATCAATCAACTATAGATTATAATCAATCAGCTATAGATTAGAATCCATCAGCGATAGATTATAATCAGTCCACTACATATTCTAATCAGTTAAACTATAGATTGCAAACAGCTATGCAGTATTTAATGCAAACAACTATAGATTATAGTCATGGCTTATAGTCAATGCCGGAATGCTATACTAATACAGTTCGAACTTTCAATCAATGAAACTGAACAAATCACCATGTAGCTGCGATTGTTTACATTTACATCCATAACCTGAGTGATTAACTTGGCAAAACTATGATCTTGGCCAGGACCCAGGAGAATTTTCAATTGCTTTGACTTGGGTTGGAACCATCTTACACTGGTGAAATCACCCCAATCATCCACCATTATCCGCATTTGTTGGTTCTGAATCATATAAAGCCAGAAGTTGTAATCCCAATGTTTTGTTGCTTAACATCCCTTTTTTTCGCCCAAAACCCTTCTTCTTGCTCTTTAACTGGGTTCAGCATCTGTGCCTCGAAGCAGGAGTGATGAAGAAGAAGAAAACGAAACAGGTGTCCCGAAGGAGGATGGTTGCCGAAAAATCGTTGTGGGACCCGGTTTTTGTGGCTTGCGAACCATGGGCACTGAAGTGGGGTTGTCTGAACATGGTTTTTAAATGTCTTTAATTTGTGATGAACGAGTGGGAAACTGATGATGAAGCATGGGATTTTGGTGGACTCGCTGTACCCTAGTTTCAGACAATTCGAGTAACAACATGTGTGCCACGGTCAAAAGTTGGATGATGACTACCATTTTCTTGGGGGATAGTCATTAACCCACCAGCAGGCCATACTTGAAAACGGGAAAAAAATGTCATGGCCAATAAAAAATAGGATTCCCAATATGGGATGGATGACCATGCCACATGTGTATATAGTATATATATACATATATATACATATATATATACATATAATTATATATATACAATGTGTTAACATGGTTTAACCATGGGACATGTGGATGGTTTGATATGATTTACCATAAGTTGCCCTGGCAACGGAAAGTCCCTATAGATGATTTGATTCTGGCAGTCGTTCAGGGGACCCTTGAAACCCATCTGTGTTTGGGGTCCACCCCAGCATACCAAAAAATACACAATCTTGTGACATCTGACATCTGAGGGACATGCAATGATTTACCCATCAAATTGAGGAGATGAGGGAATAACATGACCGCTCCTGGTAACATGCTATCAATCAGAAAGATCAACATAAAGATATTGATCCATCATTGCAATAGCAACAACAACATTAGATTCCTGAGGTTTTGTCAGGTTATGTTATGACATGCTGCCAACTAGTTCGTAAGTTCATAACATTGTGATGTCCTTTCTATGACAGCAAGGATCCATGATTGGCGGGACGTTGATAGGTGGACCATTCGGCGTGAAATGTTCACGGCGGACGGGCGGACTTTCAGAATTGCTAGGAAGAAAGCCTTTAGGACGGTGAGGCTTCATATTGAGTCCAGTTGAACTTTGAATTGGATAAGTTTACTCGTACCATGATTTGTAGCTCAGTTTGCAGTTCCATTTCGACTCAACGTAGTTGACTCACATATCATGCATTCTATGGCATTCTTGGGGATAAGCTGAAACTCGCGTTGCGAGAGACATCAGCCAGCGGCATATGGGATGTCCCACCAACGATGTTCCAGGATATTCCAAGATGTTTTTTCCCAACCAAGTGCCGATCATTTGCTACCTCAATTGCTGACCTTGTTTCAACATGTTTCAACCATTTAGTTTGATGTTCGGCAAATGATATTGGTTGGTAAAAGGTAAACACCGAAAGGTCGGTAAATCTGTTTTGTTCCAACCATTTTACCAACCCATCATTTACCACCCATGTTTCCACCCATTTTCCCAACCATTTACCTGGCCCCACCAACGATGTTCCAGGAATCAGCGGTCGAAAGCCTCAAGGCTGCAGACATTCATCACATCACGTGCCTTGGCGACCATGGAGGAAGCCTGCTCTCCCCCGGGCTTCGGTTGTTTCAAATACCCTCCGGAACTCATGGCAATTGAAGATCGAACTAGCCATGGAGGTTTCGTTCGCTGGAAAACACATCGAAGTAAATGTTGATCGTCCCGGGCAGCCCACACTTTCGAGGTTCAGATGGATAAAAACCGGCTCAACCATTCTTGAGGACACACGGTTCATGAGAAAAGCAAAATAGTGATGTCAAGAATGGTGTTTCAAGGTTTTTCAATGATATAACATGAGGAAACCCATCCTTCACCTTCCAAGGATCACCCTGAACAACTTGTTGGACACTGCCAGGCGTGAGCGGAGCATAGCGGAGCTGTTGAACCAGGGATTTCACCGTTTCAATGCGTTGGAATGTTGGAACTTGCAGTATTCCATTGACAAATCCATGAGTATACTTCTGATTTTCAAGATATGGGGATTTCCATGAATGGAGTATACCCCAAAATGGTTGGTTTATAAGGGAAAATCCTATTAAAATGGATGATTTGGGGATACCCCCATTTTAGGAAACCAGCATATTTTCACACAAATTCAGTTTCCCAACTTTCTTTCAGGCAAGTGTTGATCTATTCTATTCCAACTTGTCCCCTTGCTTGTTGGAGAAGTACATCCCGACAGGGTTCAATGGAGGATGATACAAAATAGAAGTAGGTGGTCCACGGCGAATGCGAGATGCGGTTCACACCAACTTTAGCCAACCTACGGATTATTGCTTATCATGATTATTATTGTTATTATTATTATCACTATTGTTATTGCTATTATATGCTATTGTTATATTATATGTATATATTATTCTATATTGTTCGAACAATGTATCATACCAGTTATAGTAATGATTATTATTGTCCTCATGTTTTTGGTTCATTTGGATAATGCACAATAAACCAATATCATGTCCTTATCATAGCATTGATGCCATGACTATCAGGATCCTCTTCTCCTGTGTCCATCTGACCCAGGTGGACCATTCCGGGACTTCGAGTGATCAAGTACCACGGCTCCAGAGTGATCAAGTATATTTGTGGGAAGCTATTATGGGATCCAATTCCGTGATGTGGCTATTGGCTCAAAGCTATGGGCCGAATATTTATAATATTTGGGGGATGAACTTTTATTTGTGACTGTGTGGTTTTTCGCAGGCTTTTGACCCAGGCTTCATCCATACAAGAACTGAGAAGCTTTGTGGGTCTGAAGCCATTGGGAATGAAAAGCTCTCAAATCAACCAACTGTTCTTGTTTGGAATGGAGTTAAAACCCGGACATGAATTATTCCGTGCAGCTCCAAACACCTTCTCGCACTGTATTTCAGGTTGTTTTTTGGGGGTCTAAACATCTTAAGTCATCTTAGGACTATTCCTGATTCAGGACCCGAAAATGTACAGCAACCCAGGCCATTTCCAACCGGCGACCCATCTGCAAGGCGATGGCTCGGCTACAGTTGGAGCCTGGTCTTGCTGATCGTCCGTCGCTCGGCGCTTCGCGCTTCCATTTGGGGATGGTTCACATCAAACAACCGTAAAAATCCCTAGGATCCATGGATATCCCGTAAGTATGGCACATAACTGGTTGGTGGTGACTGGTTTCCATGGAATTTTGAATGACTTTCCCAAATAATATTGGGAATTTCATCATCCCAACTGACGAAGTCAATTTTTTCAGAGGGGTAGGTATACCACCAACCAGATAAATATACATAAATAAGGTCATCTTATGAGTGGGTTTACCACACTAGTCACTAGATGTCACTAGATATTTGAAATTTGACGGTATGTTCATCCGGCCACATGACACCGTGGCAAGTTGGCACTGCTGTAACAAGACTGACCTCGTGCATGGTCCGAAAAAGGGTGGTAGCATAATCACCTACCGATTGTGGTGAGAGTAATATAATATGATATGTGAAAATATGTATATAATTGTGTATATATATACATAATATAATATAATATAATCAAATGTGGCAAAAAGAAAAACAATGTATAGTTATTGGTCCCATTAAAATCTTCATTTATAGGAATAAACCCATTGCCATGTTTGATTACTATACGTTATGAAAGGACCAAAATGGTTGATGAAGAACCATTCACTTGAACAGTCTTTGAACTAAAATTGCGAAAGCGAAGAATAGGGAACTACTAAGGTCCCGAGAACACATTTGCAACCTCTAGTTCTAGTTTTGGTCTCAACTCATGTATATCGAATCTACATATATACTCTAATATACACTATGTACATATAATATTATGAAGAATATATATATATACATATCGCAATCAGAAAGTTATTGTTGCCTTATTGGTATATTTATCCATATTTGCTGGTTAAAAACTAAGTCTGCAGCACCTGCTAAACTACCGCTTTTGCTATCGAATTCTTTGCTTGACACCCCAACTTTTCTGGATGGACATCCCCTTTTTTTGCTGGCAACTCACATGAATTCATCATCCATTGCTGGTTGTAAAAGCTGTCAAATCTCCACTTCTGGAAGTTTTTAACGGGTATCATATCATCCCCATTTTCCTGCTGATCATATCCATAAGAATGGTGATTAATTATTACACTCTATAAATCCAATATATCAATGGTTAGTGGATACGTAATATAAATCTATTGAAGATCATGACTTTATGTAGTTACGTGTGATTATATGCGATTATATATCGGTTTGTAAATGTGGCTTGTTTTTCTAATGGAAATCTATTGATGATAAATATTACATCTGGTTACATGTAGTTATATGATGTTATATGTGGTCATATGTAGTCATATGATGATGACGACTACTACTACTACTACTACCTATTTTTATTACTGATTTTATATCAGTTATATCTCCATCTCATAACCGCAGGTTTCGCCATCCTGACCTTTGCCATGCTCATGCCGCGCGACAGAGAGGCCACGGTGCCGTTGGCCTACGTCATCACCAAGTTGGTGTCCGGATCCCAAATGGTCATGGGAACATGTGGGGTCCCCCAAAGTTGGGCAATTGTCCATGATCATTCTCAGTTAGGACATTTATAAGAAACCCAAAAAAAAAAACACTGATCACGGTTGAACATTGAAATGTAAAATAACATACTGACATGTCATGAAAATTATATCAATGATTCTTCAAAACGTCGGAACTTGAACGGATTTACTTGATTCAACCATTTTAGGACTGAGATTTGCGCATCGAATGAGGACCTCAGCAAGAAGTGTTGTTTCCAAACATGGGGAGATCAACAGAAACGAGGTCCATACCTAGCGGTCGAGTCATTCAGGATCAGATGGGAGACAACTTATGAAACTGACCAGAATATGGAGATGTTGGGACTGTTCATTCCTGACCCATACCTAGACATACCTAGAGGTCTTTCCTCTCCAAAAGACGTGTTTTTTTCGGAAGAAGTCGATGAATTTGCTGGTGAAATCGTTGCGGCCAAGGTCACTGGTGATGGAGGCGGCCTTGGCGCCTTATCAATGGAAGCTTGGTGCATTTTTCCGGTGGAATCTCTGGGGTAACATGTTGGCCATGGGGGGTGGGCCCCCCAATCCAAATCATACAGTCATTAGACATGACCATGACCATGACTTAGTAACTTTGTATTGAAAGAAAAGCATGGTGACGACTGGGGATGCCACATTTCAAGAAAGCCGCAAGTTACCATCAAAGGATTTGATGTGTTTGATCCATGTTTTATCAATCAATGGATGGGGAATGAATGACCCAATACCATACCTTGTTCACACAACCCATATCTCACTGTGGATGTTTCATGCAATTGGGCTTACCGCATTCTAGGACCTAAGTATCTAACCAGCAACAACTTTTGATTCATAGAATCTGTTTCACCAGCAAGCAACAAGGGGATGGGGGATACAATCAGCAAAAAAAAGTTGGATAAAGCCAGCAACAAAGAAGAAGGTAAGATTATGTTTCAACTACAGCACCGTTTGCTATAGCCATGGTTAGCAATTCCTCTGGGAGTAGCCAGCGATAAAGTGCGCAGGTAGCACCATCACCCAAGTCCCCCACCCAAGTTGCATTCCCATTCTGGGTGGATACCCCTTTCTCTCGGCGCCAGCACTGCCAGCATTGTCCTCTCAGGACTTACTTGAACGATTGGGCCTCTCGCCTTGCAAAGTGGGGCAAAGGTGAGACTTTCCACTTCACTACTGGCATTCCAGTTGTAAGATACAGTGTAAGAACCCCTATGATTCTATGATATTCTATGATATATCAGAGAGTTTCTTATCCCATGCTACAATCCATGATCGACACTCCGCCATGGCATACTGAGGAATTGGTTGTCCACAGTGTGATCTATGTGTTCCTTGGACGGCAGCTGCGGGCTGATTCTATGTACGTCATCAGTCTTGGCAATGTTCATGGCGTGTTCCAATGCATTCAGCCCATGGGGACAAGACTGAAGGATCATGGCCGTTAAATAAGATGCTTCATTCAGAAACAGATGACAGTCAGATGGTTCCCATTCCTCCTGGTTCAAGCATCCTTTGAACCACGTGCTGCTTCAAGGAGGCTCAGTTGGAAAATCTCCCGCCTGCTGTAGGTTCATGATGTTTGTGGTCTCCGGTTGGTCAGACTCTTGCCAGCGCGGGGAAGGGGCAGGGGCCTGGGCGGTGTGCGATTCGTGAAGATTTCTGACCTATGAAGCCACGAATCGACGTTTTCAAGCATCCCATGATGAGTTAGAGAAGTATTTGCAGTAAATATGTATATATACGTATATTATATATATATGATTATGTGTATATATATATATATATCCACACTCGCACCATTGTGACATGTGTTGAGATGGGATGGCGTGCCTCCGGAACCTGCCATATCTCCACAGTCTCAAACCATGTGCCTGGCAACGCGACGTGCGCTGGACTTGGAAGATGCCACCAACTTGGCTCAGGTGGAGGAGTCAAATGTAGCCACCGAGTTTTGGTAAAAATGATAAAACATTGTGATTTAACCATTTGAAAAGGAGGTTTAATGGGACATTAAATGATGTTATATAGTGGGATTTAATTACTGATGGGACATGGCTAATCCCTAATCCAGGAAAAAGACTAGCCGGGTTACGGTTACAGTATAAGCAATGCAACCAACGGAACAAAAGGTCGTTTTTTGGATACTGTCACACAAAGAATTGGCACCACCCGTTGCCCCGATTCCACCCGTTGCCCCGCTAGTTGTTTGAAGGTTTGTGGGTAACCTGCCAATAGTCACTTAGTCAGGGTTTATCAATCCAGGGCTGACATTAGATGTGCATATTAGATGTGCGTAGTTGCGTAATGAACTGATGATATGGGCATACAATAGCTATATAATATGAGCGCTACATTTGATTGTATACCCACAGCATTTATTGGTGTGTGAACTGAAACTAGTGCACCAAATACAAACCATTTATGGATATATTATATGTTCCTAGAACCCACATGAACCCACCATGTTTATGACATCTTGAGGTTGAAAATGGTTCCTTCGTGTACTTTCGGGCTGGGGTGACAGTTGATATGCACCGCATCCCAGGTTTGAGCCTTGCTTGAAGATTCGCCATTTACAGATGTGTTTTCCCACTAAAACATACTGAAACCTTCATGTTTATATCCATTTACGGGGAAAATCACAGTTTTTATATGTGTTAAATTCTATTAATATCTTGAAAGTTGATGATGTCCCCATGAAAGCCATATTTTGGTTGCTCGGATTTGCCAGCCATGTTGGATTTTGAAAAGGCCTGCTCGCCTTTTCCAGGAGGCCGAAAAACAGATGCGGAAACTTCTGAAAGGTTTGGCCAAGAATCAAGCTGAAGTGATCTTTGGGATCCTTCAGCTCTGTGCCTGGCTGGTGCTAAAACCAGATATTTTGGATTTTTTCTTCATCCCCAATAATGTCCAAAAATGTCCAAAAGCTATAGGTCTTACCAGGAAGAGAGGGATTTCATCATATTTCAACACAATCAACAGGGGATGTAAGCCATGAATATCACTGGTGGGTTTCGAAGATCATCAAGGTGGTGACCGACGGGTTCGTTTAGACGCGCGGCAATATACGCTTGGAATTACATCCTGTGGCAGCAAGAGTCTCTGGCAACATGCATGCAGTCTCTTTGCTGCCATGCCCACTGCGCAGGTGGCACAAAATGTGACCCGGATCGATGAGAGGTGATGGGAGAGCTATATATTTTTGTTTTAAAGCATAGAAGCATATATTTATAGCAAGTTCAGAAGTTGCCCTGGGGAAAAATATTCCAAATAAGTAAATCGGGATACACTTTCCACATTTTTCCACCAGCTGTCCCATCGACCATCATCGACCTGGGACCCTGGGACCCCGGGACCCTGGGATGGTTTGCAGCGAGGTTATCAGTTACAATGCACTGCTGAATTCACTGGAGAAGGGAGCTCAATGGTATCATAGCTTGCGGCTCTTCAAATCCATGGCCTCAAGTCATTCAAGTCATCAGCCGGATGTCATCAGTTTCTACGCTGGACTGGTCACTTTTTGCTCCCTCGACTCGGTTCTTGTGTTGACACAGTTCCTATATGATACTTATATATATACTTATATAGTATCATACCAGTTCACCTCAAAAAGTCAAGTTGGATGGAAAAGAAGCTGCCCCCAAATCCCAGGGTTTACCATCATGTTTCTGATTAAATTATATTAAGATGACCAATTTAAGTCAGTTTTTTCCTGGGAAGCTACTTGCTATTTTGAAGCAGCACCTTGGCGCTCCAGGTTACACCGCGGCCATCATTTCCTGTGAGAAGGGTCAGCAGTGGCAGCACGCCTTGCAACTCTTCTTCGCCATGCCCAAGATGTCACTGCGTCCGATGCTTGGTTTCTGTTAGAAAAAAAAATCCGGAAGATCCTGCAGTTTTTTTTTTGAGGATCCCCAAAATAAGACCATTTTAGTACGTTTAAAACCTATGGTGACTGGGGATCCCCGAGGACTTCAGAAACCCCCGTATTGATACCTACAGCATGTTGTCAATAAATTTAATCAGGCGTTTGCGGGTACACATATTTTTTGGTGCCTTTGAGCCACTAAGATTTGAGATGTTTGAGGTTACCCTCTGGTAAACTAACATAACTATGGAAAATCACCATTTTTCATGGGAAAATCCACTATAAATAGCCATTTTCAATAGCTATGTCACAAATAACCAGAGGGTACATGCTAATATTCATACAGATGTCCAGAATATATCATGATGTGCATATCTTATGCCCGATCCCGACGGATCCAACGAACACATCATAGATGTGGAAAACCCCACGGTTTCCCGTTTGGAAAAGATTTATAAATGGTATAATGGTGATGTGGTTTCCAGGATGGTATTATAGATCTATATAGATCTATTAGATAAATATACAGATCCCTGGCCCATGGTTCGAGGAATGTCTTCAGCTACTGCGCCCTGATTTCGTGCCTGAAGGAAGCCAAGAAATGGCAGCAGGCCCTGGTTACTTTCCAAACGATGCCTATGACGGAGGTGTTGGGCTGCCGGCGGCGATTGATACGCTCAAATGGGGTGTTCTTAAGTCATGGGGATTCCCCAAAACCATGGGTTTCAGTACTAAAACCGTCTAATTTGGATGATTTGGGGGTACCACCATTTTAGGAAACCTCCAAATGATCGCGAAAATGATCGGGAAACCCCATTCCACCCGCTGAGAAAATCATTTTCCCTACCATATCATACGCATTTTTTTTTGGGGGGGGGTATACTCAATTATCAGACCCATTCAGCAAAAGTGTGGAGAAAGCTTTGGCCAATGAGACTGGTTTGAGAGTGGGTATGATAGGTTTATAAAAAATCAACCGTAACGGAATTTGCACATGATGAACAATAATCAAGAGTGCCGAAATGTGAGTGATGTAAGCAACAAACATGCAGGAACAGTTGGTAGATGAACGCGATAGCATAGTCTGTTGTGCATTTTTGGAGATTCTGGGGTGTGTCGTCCAGGTGGTTCCCAATGTGGTTAGCTTCAATGCCACCATCAGTGCATGTGAAAAGGTGGCTGAGTGGCAGCTACTGGGCAGCACATGGCCTGCCAGGTGGCATTCAGATGGGGGAGCCGTGAATTATGTGAATTTGATGGCAGTAAATCATGTAAATCAGCATAAATCAGCACTGTCGGCCAAGAGACACTGGATGAATCTGGATAACTTAAATCAGCTTCGGGACAGAGGGTTCAGAATCGCTATCACCTGGCTGGCGTCAGATCCCTTTGGGCAAGGGGTCTAAGGGGTCCCAGATGATAGAATTCAACTAATACCAGCTGATGCCTGCACCTACAAAGAACCTCTTGAACAATTGAAAAGTCCAAAAATCATATGGTCGCGAACATTTGGAGCCTTTGGATTCTCCATGATTTTCATTCTTTCCAGAGCTACGGAAGCTCCCGGTGTACGTTGGATTCAAAGTCTGAAACCATCTGAAACCACGAGCTTCGGTCCTAAAAAAGGCGTCCTTTGACGCGACCCACTGGCCATCAGCACTGAGGCAAGCCTTCAGCATCTTCTCGCAGATGCCCCAAGATCTGCCAGACGTGGTCAGCTACAGCACCTTGATCAGTTCGTGTGGCCGTGCTGGCAATTGGCAGCAGGCCCTGAGGATTTTTGCAGATATGTCTAAGGTCAGGGTTCAGGCGAACATTTTCAGCTTCAATGCAATCATCAGTTCCTGTGAGAAAGATGGCAAGTGGCAACAGGGCCTATCTTTCTTCGATCAGATGTCGAAGCTGGAAATATCGCCAGATATTATCAGCTACAACGCCGTCATCAGCGCGTGTGAGAAAGGCGGACAATGGCAGCAAGCCCTGCAGATCTTCGAGGCCATGCCCAAGATGAAGACCCAAGCGGTTGCTTGGTAGAGATATGGGGACGATGTTATCATAAGAGGATATCACAGGCGAGTTCACATGAGACTAGATTTGTTAGATATATGGAATTATATGGATATATATATATATATATACGTATATACATATATATGTGGGATTTTACCGGAAATGGGAATGGATGATGAACCCCAATGATCCCCAATGACTATCCCAAAAATGGTTGATACATGCCCAAAACATCAGTTTCAAAGGTGGAAATCCTGATGAACCGTCCAATTTTTGGGTGTACACTGCTTTCAGACAAACTGATAAAGGTGCCCTCTGGTAAACTAACATAACTAACTATGGAAAATCACCATTTTTAATGGGAAAATCCACTATAAATAGCCATTTTCAATAGCTATGTTAAATTACCAGAGGGTATTGAGGATACAGGGACGGGCCACCGGACATTATGAGAGCATCGGTATGGACGATGAATATCTGGGAATTGCAGCTATTTTCACCGGCACCAGGGCAAACTGACCCTCTTTTGAGTGGGTGATCAACCATCCATAAGTGTGGGTTGATACTGCGCATAAGAATCAATCTTCGTGAATATCCGGTCCAGATTCCCTTATCTCCCAGTAAATTTTATCACCAGATAGGTGCATATCCCCTGGGCAAACCTTGGATCGATAGTTTATGGTTTATAGTTTGAGTTTTTGCTATATACAATGAGTACATACTATGACTAGCTTTGAAATATGTTAAACCAATGCAAGATATCTAAGATTGGCCATAATTATTCATATTCCCTCAGTTTTTTTTTAACACGCTGATTTTAGGATCCTGTAGCAATCCTCGAGGACATCATCAGCTACAACGCAGTGATCAGTTCCTGTGAGAAGTTTGGCAAATGGCAACACGCCCTGTGGGCGTTCTCAGCTATGGGCCTTGCAAAGGTCAGGTAACTGGGTCGCGTCGCCGAGCTGCCTCCAAGTCAATGGCAGGGGACCAGAAAGGGGACCAGAAAAGGAGTCGAAATAGATGAACAATGGGGATTCAAGTGACCAAAATGAGGATATGCCACCCAAAAAGTGGATGGTTCATCCTGAAAATGACACAATTTGGTGTTTTACAGGATGTGTCAAATACTTCCCCAATCCCACACCACAAGGCAAACAAAACATCGAAACCTGAATGTCAAAAGACTTGAACATGGGTGGACATGGAAAATTCATGAAAATTCCATGAAAAGATCTGTGGAAAATGTTCCTTCTACTCCTGATGGGTGTTTGAAAGCCATGGATCCGGCGTCGAAGCCCTGCAGGTTGACCCAGATTTGGTCACTTATAGTGCAGCCGTTAGTTCCTGCGAGAAGGCTGTGCGATGGAAACTGGCCTTGTTTCTAGGCTGGAACTTGCCATTTTTTTTTGAACCGGAACAGTATGGATGATTTGAATGGCAGATATATAATGATATATATATATATATCTTTCAGATTTGTCAGATTTGATCACAAAATGTACAGTAGGAATACACAACCCATATGAAGTTGAACATACAGTCTGACCAGATTAATATGCATTTTGTCCAACAACAAATCCGGATTTCTTTATCCTTTATCCCTCAGATGTATTGTTTGATGCTCCCATTTCCCAATGGGGTGTGGGGAGTCAGGGAACCTCGATTTTTCCGGTCACTTCTGTCGCGCTTTCAGGTTCCTTTTGGGAACCATGCCGCGGAGCAGCTGAAGATCCAAGCCCGAAGGTCAAAGATTTTGACCGCCAAATGTGCCCTTTTTTTTTTCGCTAGTGAGGAACTGAAGCGTTTCATATGCTAAAGCTAGTAGCATCACAAGAGCATCTGGATGCCTTTTGTCCCTCCGAAACTCAAAACGGAGTGGCCAGTTGGTCACTTCAACGAGTTTTTCTTGATGCTCAAGACTCTGCAAGATGATCGAAAAGGCCGCTAGAGCAGCTGTCACTACTGTACCAACTGGGAGGCAATAGAAAAGACCGTTCAACCCGTGGACTTGCTGCAGACACCACCTGTTGTTTCTAGTTGTTTTTGTGGAAGTCCGTCTGCATCACCAGGTCACTTAACATCTTGGTTAAAGATCCACTGAGCAAGGATTATCCCGACTGACTTTGGGATGGTTTCAAAAGAAACTGTTCGTTGGATCTGTTCAACCTTTTTTCTTGGATCCCAGGGTATACACTGATTGAAGTCATATCCTATCCAAGGACTTAGCCAGTGACGTCTTGCTGCTGTTGGCGACCATCTTGTCCGTTCTGCCGGTGATTTTGCGGCTGATCATGCTTGTCAACACCAAGGACCCCTCAGGGTGCAGGGGGAGTTGGGGATGCTGAAGATACCCTACGCAATCAAGGTCTTGAGTCTTGAAGGTGAGGCGAGAAAGGCCGAGCGCAGATTATGCACATTGCATCTTTACTTTACGTCAAATGACTCACGTTGCTAATGGGTTAAGTTATCTCCATCTGTATGGAAGAACATGTTTGAATATATTAATATATATATACATATTGATGATCATGCTACTATTAAATACCTAGTATGTATGATAGTATGTAATGCAATATATACATATACAGGGTTCCCGTGGTTCGCATCGATTCGCATCGGTTCGAAAATAACTTCATGAACCGCGAAGCGGTTCGTTCCGGTTCGGTTCCGTGGCGGTTCGTGTCGAGACCGGTTCATGGATTCATTCGGTTCCATTCGGTTCGGTTCTTGTCTGGACTTGACTGCGTTATTGCTTTTTATAAAGGAAGTGTATACGATAATGTGTATAGCAGCATTCAAACTATATCCGTTGGTGTTCGTAACTTTCTGAAAGCAACATTGGCCTTCAAAATTGCCGGGACGGGAAAGTACGGAAAATTAGTATTGCCGAACAGCTTTGGCGTCGAAAACCTCTGTTGCAATGGAAAGATTGAGCAAATACTGTAATTCCCTTTACCCATGTAGCATACTCAACAGTACGATCCCGCAACCCCCCTGGAGACACTTTTGGGGGCAAACTTTGCTTTCCGGGGGTTGCGGAAAATGAGTACTGCCGAACAACTTTGGCCTCGAAATTCTCTGTTGTAATGGAAAGATTGAGCAAATACTGTAATCCCCAAAACCCGTGTAGTATACTGTATACTCAACCGTACGATCCCGCAACCCCCCTAGAGACACTTTTGGGAGCAAACGTTTTCAACAACCCCCGGAAAGCAATGTTTGCCCCCAAAAGTGTCTCTAGGGGGGTTGCGGGATCGTACTGTTGAGTATACTACATAAGTAAAGAGAATTCAGTATTTGCTCAATCTTTCCATTGCAGCAGAGATTTTCGAGGCCAAGGCTGGTCAGCTGTACTCATTTCCCGCAACCCCCGGAAAGCAATGTTTGCGCCCAAAAGTGTCTCCAGGGGGGTTGCGGGATCGTACTGTTGAGTATACTACATGGGTATTGGGGATTACAGTATTTGCTCAATCTTTCCATTACAACAGAGAAATTCGAGGCCAAAGCTGTTCGGCTGTACTCATTTTCCGCAACCCCCGGAAAGCAATGTGTGCCCCCAAAAGTGTCTCTAGGGGGGTTGCGGGATCGGACTGTTGAGTATACTACATAGGTAAAGGGAATTCAGTATTTGCTCAATCTTTCCATTGCAACAGAGAAATTTGAGGCCAAGGCTGGTCAGCTGTACTCATTTCCCGCAACCCCCGGAAAGCAATGTTTGCCCCCAAAAGTGTCTCTAGGGGGGTTGCGGGATCGTACTGTTGAGTATACTACATAAGTAAAGAGAATTCAGTATTTGCTCAATCTTTCCATTGCAGCAGAGATTTTCGAGGCCAAGGCTGGTCAGCTGTACTCATTTCCCGCAACCTCCGGAAAGCAATGTTTGCGCCCAAAAGTGTCTCCAGGGGGGTTGCGGGATCGTACTGTTGAGTATACTACATGGGTATTGGGGATTACAGTATTTGCTCAATCTTTCCATTACAACAGAGAAATTCGAGGCCAAAGCTGTTCGGCTGTACTCATTTTCCGCAACCCCCGGAAAGCAATGTTTGCGCCCAAAAGTGTCTCTAGGGGGGTTGCGGGATCGGACTGTTGAGTATACTACATAGGTAAAGAGAATTCAGTATTTGCTCAATCTTTCCATTGCAACAGAGAAATTTGAGGCCAAGGCTGGTCAGCTGTACTCATTTCCCGCAACCCCCGGAAAGCAATGTTTGCTCCCAAATGTGTCTCTAGGGGGGTTGCGGGATCGTACTGTTGAGTATACTACATAAGTAAAGAGAATTCAGTATTTGCTCAATCTTTCCATTGCAACAGAGAATTTCGAGGCCAAGGCTGGTCAGCTGTACTCATTTCCCGCAACCCCCCGAAAGCAATGTTTGCTCCCAAAAGTGTCTCCAGGGGGGTTGCGGGATCGTACTGTTGAGTATACTACATGGGTATTGGGAATTACAGTATTTGCTCAATCTTTCCATTAAAATAGAGATATTTCGAGGCCAAAGCTGTTCGGCAGTGCTAGTTATCCGTAACCCCGGGAAAGAAGGAAAGGAAGGAATTAGAAAATGTATAGACAGATAGTTATTCTCACACAATTTTACATATCAAATTCAAATATAACTATGATTTTCGGTTCGGTTCCCACAAAATTTCGGTTCGGTTCCTGCGGTTCGTTTTCATTTACCGGTTCAATGACCCCGCGGTTCGTTCCGGTTCGTGTTTGTCGATTCGTGTCGGTTCGTGGGCACACTGCATATATTAAAATATATTAATTTTATATATATATATATATTTATTAAAATATATTGTAGATATATGAGTATATATATATTTACATAATATATTATGCAGATTATGCATAGATTTGAGATGATTTGACTGTTTAAGTCGGATATCCAAGGTTCACCATGATCTCAACTTGATCTCCAAGCTCAGTGGTGCACGAGAGACTGGGATACCATAACCATTGGTTAACCGTTTCCCTTAAGCGTGAGGCATCCAGAATTTCTTGAACATCCACTATGAGGCCATAGAATGAGATGCAAGGAGCACGTTTTGGTTTATCCGTGTTTATCCCCAACTCGTTTGTGCTGTACTTGTTCGCTTGAGATGAAAGCCATGTGATCAACGTTCTACTGTAGGTTTGCATTTGTTACCCAACCAGAAACCTACCATGTGACTATATTGACAGGTCTTTAGCCGGTACCATGAAAACCGGGAGGTTCCAACATTCCCATAGAGTCACCACTCCAATCTTACCGGCAGTGTTGTGCATGCAATGATTGGCAGGATAAGAACGACATTCAGGATCCTTTAGGTTTCTCGGCCGTTGAACGAATGGGAATGGTTCCAGAGCTCCGCATAATCATTGGGGGCTTAATCAACCACAAAATGGAAAGGCAATCAACAAAAGATGTGGAGAACAAATCGCAATGCGATTGAGTTGGGTGGTTCCAAGATGTTTCAAATAGTTGTTTCTTTTCCATCCCTATTCAGAATGATTGCCCCTCTAAATCTATGTTCTTGAGACAGGTCTCAACCACCAAAACCCGTCCAAAACCTTTTTTTGTGGGATTGCTCATGTTTGCTTTAACCTACTGTACAAAGCCACCCTGGTCCATTTTTCCACCGTTGGAAATCAGCCTGATTTCCCGGAGAGCCTCGATGGTTGCGCAATTGAGGCATGAGCGTGAAGGCTGAGGACGTGTGACACTCAGTGTGCCAACATGCAGGAGCAAAGAAACAATGAAATATGCGTGGCTTGGGCGAATTATATATATATATATATTATTACTATTATTATTATTGTTATTATTCTTATTATTATTATTAATTATTATTATTATGTTATCTTAGATAAGGTGATATAACATGATTATATTAGATTATCATACCATATCCCTTATCATCACCTTATGGCCAATCTTAGACGATCTGATTATCTGATCACATGGTGACAATGGATGGCCATGGATATGGCTCAGTCACATATCAAAATGGGGCCATCCCAGCAAGTGGCCCATATTTGATGCCTTTTTGCAGGTAAAACTCTTGTATATGTTGAGAGATTGCAAATCCCTTGAGGGTAGAAACATCCGGAGAGAACATGTTTTTCGTTGTTATGTTTCCCACCCCTGTTGAGGGTGAAATGTTCCCACTCCGCCTCCAGATTAGGTCTCCTACCACATTGGAGATATGCGCGATGGTCTCGGAACCCGATCCTTGGGAATTTCCACAGTCACAACCGAGAGGCAGGGAGGGATCGGAAAAACTCCATGGAGATTTGCTTGAGGCCATCAGCCAGACTGGTAGCCATTGCAGGCATCATGGCATCTTGGAATTTGATTCAAAGCCTCTTGTTGCTCGTATCAAAACCAGCTTTGTTTCGCTGTGGTCAGGAACCTTTTGTTCTTCAAGATATGAAGACTTGTCTTGGGTACATAGATGGAGATGGCCCAATGGTTTGTAGTGGTCAGTTTCCAGAATGAAACACTTCTCCGGTGCTGCCCCGGCCACAGTGTGGTGAATTCTGGCTGTGGCCCCAGGTGTATCGGGGGGCTTCTGAAGGTGCCATGTTTCAACCCTCCAAAATGACCTCAGGATCTTGAGTTAAAGTGAAGGGATTGGTCGTGCTACACACTGGTACCGCGGCTTTGGTTTGAACCAGTCAATTCTAGCGGACTACATCAATGGTAACTTTATATAGAATTATATATATATACACGTAATTGTGTAATTGTATATATATATATATATATTATTTACAGAACACAAATTATTCGCAGATAGTAAGAAGGTTTGAAATTCAAGTTTTTTGAAAAGTGAATTCTCTGCTGACTCTGGTAGCATTGCTTTCCAAGTTGCTCCCTAGCCACAAGTGCCATAGCAAGTATTCAAACGATCATGACGTACGCCCCACACAGCTTAAATGTGGAAGAGGA